AACGGCAATGCAGATGGGGGCAATCACCGCAGCGCTGTTACACCGCAGCACTGAGACCGGCACGTCCTTCACCAGCCTGCCCTGGTAGCGAGGTGGGGAGTGACACGTGTAGCCCTGGGGCCAGCCCTGCCCCAGGTGCCCCATGGCCGCCAACGCCTGGAGTCCCCCAGCCCCCGAGCATGAGCAATTGTAGGGGTTGTCAGCCGCAGCCACATCCCGTAGGTGCCTCAGAAGCTTCACCTCATCCCATGGCAGCTCTGTAATTGAGTTGTTGTCTAGGTGGAGAGTGTCCAACATGGGGTAATTCCTGATGGGAGGGGCAGCCTGCAAGACATTTTGGTTCAGGAGGAGCTTCTTCAGGGAGCTGAGGGACATGTCTACAGCGTGGAGGTGGTTGCAGCTCACATCCAACACTTCTATGCTGGGAGGCAGAGGTGTGAGGACTTCTTCCAAACCAGCGTCAGACAAGTTAAAAATTCGGAGGGACGCTGGCCACTGGCAGGAGGAGGATGGATCTGCCACAAGCTTGTTCTGGCTGAGATCAAGGTGCTGGAGCTCATGCAGCAGCCGCACGCTTTCACACACGCTGTGGTAGGACCTTAGGTTGTTGCGTTGCAGACTCAGTACCTGGAGGTGAGGGAAAGCCCCCTTGCAGAAAGCAGGCATCAAGCTCTCATCCCCAAGACTGTTTTGTGCCATGTCCAGGGAGCGCAGAGCTCTGAACACCTTTCCAATGCTACAGGGCAGGGTGGTGACGTGGGAGCCAATGACAGCCAGCTCCTGAAGTGTCTCCAGCCACCTGCTCAGACTGGAGAAGTCCTGCTCACGGCCCGTCAACGGGGCAGATGTCACGTTTTGGAAGCGCAGGGATGATATGGGCAAATCCCAGCCAGCCATTTTATCCCAGTTGCCTCTTCCCTGGAAAACACAGCTCTCAAACACCAGCTCCTGCACCTGGGTGTAGGAGAAGAACCTCAGGACTTTGGCAAGGAGCATCTCAGGCACCAGGAGATCACCAAAAATTATTTTCCTGATGACAAGGGAGCCCAGCATATCAATGGCTGAGGGGTCTGGGTCACTGATGGGGAAGTCTATGTATCTCTCCAGCTTCCCCCCCCAAAACTCCACGACAGTGGCGGGGAGGCACTGGATGATGCTGCTAATACTTTCCTGGGACAGTCTGTAGCAGACACAGTGCTCTTCAGTGCGGTTGAAGAAACATCTGCCTTCCACCTCCAACAGCCCCAGCCCCAGGAGGAGGAGAACAGCCACGCTCATGGTAAACAATCTAGAAATGAGGAGACCAGTGGTGAAAAGCAAGACTCTCATGTCAGCTGAGGGAATCATTCCAATCCAGATGACTTGGAGGGCTGGCTTGGACGGAATCAGCCCCAGAGAGCCACCCTCGAGGGACACAGCCCTGCCCTCATCCCTCCTGCCCAGCCGCCCCACGCATGGGTCCAGTGCCCCATCAGCACTCACCCAGCTACACAGCCATGACTCAAGGCAAAGCTCAGATCATTGGCAAAACATCCAAGGGCTACACCTCTGCCACCCATCCGCTCCCTGGCACCGGGCTCACCCCACCCCAAAGCAGGGTTTCATCAAGGCAGGGCTGGCTCCCCCTGAGGCAGCAGCTGAAATGGGTTTCCCTGCCACAGGCTCCTGCTCCACGGAGTCCCACGGATCAGGAGGAAGTTAGAAATGCTGTGTTACAGATGAAGAAGTTAGATGTCTGACTGCAGGATGGACAAGCTGCAGTTCTGTTCTTCTTTAAACTGGGGCAGGAAATTGCAAGAGGACTTCATATTTTCCTTTTCCTTACCCAGCAAGTTGATTCATGGAGGGAGAGTAGAAAATAATTTCAGAGGGTCTGTATGCATCCCTGTCAGCACTCAGTATTACTTTGCCTTCAGCTGACAGGAGACACTTACCGACAGATTGCAAAAAAGCAGCAAGCAAAGATTAAAGGCTCCTAAGAATGTGCTGACTGAGCTCTGTCAAGGAGTCTTTCAGGGTCTCCAGTCCAACCTCTCACTTTCGAGCGCGGCTGCACTAGCCCCGATCGGCCACAGCTTTTTCTGACCGTGTCTCAAAAACCTCTGAGGACAGAGCAATCTCAGCCTCTCTGTGCCGTTGTGGGGCTGCTCCCGGGAAGAATCTCACCTTCGGCACTTGCACCGGGTGCCCCTCGCAGGGGGTGGGCAGCACAAGGAAGGGTGGGTTTGTCCTGTGACTTACCAGCTGGCCAGCTCACACCGAAACACTTCCTTGCTCCACGGTTGCTTCCTCTATCTGCTGCCAAACCCAAGGCTTCGGTGCCAAGGGCTCTGCCAAGCCTTCGGCTCTCTCCTGCACCCGATCCTCCCCTCCCTCCGGCTGTACGAGACCTTGGTTCTTGCAGGTTTTTTCCAAATGTTGTTGGTGTTTCCACAGCTGTCCCACCTGCGTTTAGAGGCAGGGTACCAGGAGGAAGGCTCGCAGGCTCTGCCTCGCTCCTGCTCTGTGACTTCCTGAGCCACACGACAGGGACAGCTGTGCCACGGGAAGAAACGTGCCAGCACCGTGACCGCCTGAGTCACTTCTGCTTCACTTCTCTGTAACAAGGGCCTCTCGCAGCCACGGGTTTTGGTCTCGGTGCTGACGCTGCTTGCTTTCCTAGGAAGGAGGAGGGAAGGGATTGCAGTCAAGGTGCCCTAAATGCACCCTTGGGACCAGCCCAAAACCAGCCTTGCTTCCAGATGCTCTGGGGGCTTGCCATGCCTCAGAGCCCACCGGCTGATGAGCAGCCTGCAAGGAGGCAATGCAGAGCGGTACGGGACTGTCATGCCCGGTGTCCAGAGCATCCCCAGGTGCCTGTGTCCCATGTAGGATAGGGATAGGACAAATTCCCATCTGCTGTATGAGCAGCCCAACGTTGTGAAGGTACTTCTTCACCGAAGACCAGTTTCCTTGGCAAGCTGGCTGCTTGGCTTGGCTGAGGAACTTGCATCACTTGCCCCATGCTCCTTTGGCACCTGGTGATTGGGCCTGCACCAAGGTGTTAACGCTCTCTGTCAGCAAGAGGAGACCATCAGGCATTTGGAAAGATCTGGGATTTGTTTCTTGCCCAGGGATTTCTCTGCCTAAACTGGATCTCCGAAGGGGTTTCAGAAAGGCAATGGAACTGCACGGCTGGAAGATGCAATTCTCAGTTTATTTGGTTAATGCGCCATTACAGAGAGAGTTTTTAACTGCTCATTCCTGATCACGAGCTGCAAATTCCCTCAAATGCCTTTCTGGGGAAAAATAAGCTATCTCCTTGGTGGCCAGCCTCACCTCACTTCAATGCCATGTGGTTTCAGAGCCATCTTTTCGGTGATGATTTCCCTGTTCTTATCACAGCTGTGGAAGATCCCATGACACTGAGACTCATTATCTTACATTTCTGGTGAGCCCCTGGGTGTTTTTGACTTCTACAAACATGTGGAGTCAGAAACCTTGCCCTGAGCCTAGGTTTTGGCCCTGTGAAGCCAGAGGGGTCCACCCTTGCCTGGTTTCCCCCGCAGAGCCATGCACACCCATGTCTCCATCCCCACGTTCAGGCCCTGCACCACACTGTGACCAGGCATTGCACCATGGAAGGTCACCACAGGGTCTTCCAATGTTGTGGGGGCACTCCAGCAGAAATTCTGACCCAGCCAAGGGCTTTGAGAAACCTAATGAGATTCAACAGGGGCAAGCACAGAATACTGCATCTGGGGAAGAACAATCCCATGTATCAGTACAGGTTAGAGGCTGACCTGCTGGAGAGCAGCTCTGGGAAAAAGGACCTGGGGGTCCTGGTGGACAGCAGGATGACCATGAGCCAGCAACATACCCTCACGGCCAAGAAGGTCAATGGCATCCTGGGGGGCATCGAGCGTGGCCAGGAGGTCAAAGGAGGTCATTCTCCCCCTCTACTTTGCCCTGGTGAAGCCTCATCTGGATCCTATGTCCATCTCTGGGCTCCCCAGTTCAAGATGAAAAAGGAATGACTGGAGAGAGTCCAGTACAGGGCCACTAAGAGGATAAAGAGACTGCAGCATCTCCCATATGAGGAAAGGCTGACAGAGCTGCATCTGTTCAGCTTGGAGGAGGCTGAAGGGGAAACTCATCTGTGCCTATAAATATCTAAACGGGAGCTTCAGGAAAACAGGTGGTTCAGCCTAAACATAAGGCAATCCTTCCTCACTGTGAGGGTGACAGAGCCCTGGCACAGGCTGCCCAGGGAGGTTGTGGAGTCTCCTTCTCTGGAGACATTCAAACCCCGCCTGGATCCTGCTCTGGCAGAGGGGTTGGGCTGGATGATCTGCAGAGGTCCCTTCCAAGCCCTTCTGTGGTTCTGTGTCCACACACAGACACATACACACACACACTGACACACAGACACACTGACACACTGAAACACACTGACTGACACACAGACATAGACACAAAGACGCA